CATGCTGCCTATTTTGGCCTTGGCCATAGGGTTAGATTGGGTTGGGTAGGGTTGCTCATGTTGTGGAGAATCTGTGACATCTAATTAGTGTTAATGGGCTATCGTTAGCTGTTAATCAGCTGTGAGTGACTGCTTCTCTGTGCTGCTGGGTTTATGTTACGACTGAAATTAATAAGATTAATTATACTAGTTTATTGCCATTGGACCTAGTCATATGTGACCAGAATCTTATGAAAAATAATCAGCACTTCGTTGTGGAGGTAACAGAAGCAAGAAATCTGCGCTAATTTCTAGCAAAAGCTCCTCATTTACATCTAAAACCTCTTTAAAGACAACCCAGCTCCTAAATAACTAAAACCTAAAGGACTTCTGCCAAAAATCTGACTGTTCTTATTAATGACTAACTAACCAAGACAAGTTAATCCTGTCTGATGACTATAGCATGGATCAAAACCATAAACCACTAGAAACTACTAAGAGGAACTCCATCATCAAGAACAGCCAGAGAACTGACCAAACCAAGAAACATTCCCAGCTTGACCATCATAACTGTGTTTTACTATCCTACATCAAACCATCGTGTTCACATTAAGCTATTTACCTTGTTGTTGTGAGCAGTTGTGATGTCATGCTCCTTGTATACCTACGCCCACTTGTGGTAACTGTAGCCTCTCTCATTGTATGAATCAAGCTAATCCACATACCTATCTCACTAGATAGGTTTGTGGATAAATGTTGCAATGACCATTATAAATAACACCAAAACTAAACTTAATTACAAAGCTGTTGTTTTGCTATTTTTTTTTGTCAAGTATATCAAAAGTAATGCAGAACCTATTAAAATATGATAAATTTATATATAACACGATCTAGTTCATGACACACATGGTGGAATTTAAGCTTCCTGTAAGCCATATACTAATCCAAGGTCTCAGAATTTTATGTTGGACTTCAGCTACATTTTCAAAATGCCATATTCCTGAGGTCATAGTAATAAATATTTTGATTAAAAATTTGAATGACATAGGTTAAATAGTTCTCTAGATATAGCTATTTAAAAAATAGCTCAATTGAAAGGCTTGAAAAGACTTGAAATTACCCCTTCAACGTTTTTATGAGCAAATCACAGGGAAATCACAGATCATCAGTTGACATGCAGTGACTTTGGAACCCTCCCTAGTGACCTATTTAGACATCTCTTTAACAAACTGTACCATCTTAAAGTCCAAAGGAACATTGTTGCAGGCATAAGGAACACCCATAGCCAACCAAAAAAACAATTAAAATCCTGCATAACCGCTCCAAAGATGAGTCAAACTTCTATGTAGATGATCACAGTCTAATTACCAGAACTTCTGACCAACAACTAGAACATAAAGGAATGTTTCAACCTCCTTAGACACTAATTAAACTTGCATGATTGACTAGAATTGTCTAAAAAGAGCAATAGAACTTCCATACACAGGTAGATTCTGTCTGAAAGATGGCTATAACTAACAACACCTCAGTGCTAGCCCTGTGGAGTCTAACTGAAGCCACTGGATTCACGTTCAGAATGGAGGATTGGGTGGTTTCTCGGAGTCAGTGTTTTCTCCATCAGTGCTGCAGGCTGTGATGGAGTCTAGGCGATGCTGCAGGAGCACTTGGCCATGTTGGCGTGTTGTTGGTCAGCGGCACGTTTGGATGTGCTGTTCAGGCTGTGTCATGTGTCAGGAATTTGCTGCTGCAGCAGGAGTGCATTTTAGCATGTCGGCAGACTGGTCACAGCTCTCTGACTCTCACTGCAGAGATTTCCTGGAAAGTCTTATCACATGTGACCTGAAGAAGAGTCATCTAATCTTAAAAATCAAATACAGAGAAAATGGGAAGAAAATTAATCTCTTACTGTTTTCAAAAGCAGAAATACAAATTCATTTTCTGGTATTAACTTTAAAAAATATATTTTTTAAATGTGAACACTGAGCTGCTGTTTTCAAATAAGAGTTCAAAGAATCCCCATGACTTGGTAGAGAATAAAACACGATCATAATGATATATATGTGTGAATGATTCATTTAATTCTTTCTGGAAAAGAATGAAAAGGTCCTGCACCTGCAGACTTATGTGTCATATGTGTTATCATCTAGAGGTTTAGACATCCATCAATTAATATTATGATAAATCATTAG